TGCACCAGCTAGCCAGACAAGGACAACAAAGAGGCCCTGCTTTATGGAGATGGAAGGTAAAGGCTGACGCCTGAGGCAGTCCTCTGACATGTGTGCACATACACACACTTAATGGTGGCCTACAAATCCCAAATCCCGTTTTCTGCTTTAATAAATAGCGAGGAAAACCACAGGTCTTGTCCCAAAGTGGAAAGGAAGGCAGGCCACTGAAGTAAAAGAAATGTCTGCTTTGTCTCCACCGTGTGTGCAGAGCTGGGGAAGGAATGGGACACGGACCATATTTTCACAGGAACGGGGAGAGTTCTAGCCCTCTCCCGAAGCCAGTGGGAAGTGGCCAGGGCTGTGGAAAGTTACTCATCTGGGTCACCATTCTTCTGAGCCTCTCTGGCCCCTGCACATGCCGGTTCCTCTGGCTTCATGCTGCTGCTGGTGATGCTCGCCAGTGGACACTTGCACTGCGATACACGGAGCGAATACAGAAGCCGTCTTATGGATGTGTCTAAGAGGGAGCTGGAGATGAACAGAGCATGGGTTGCCTCCAGGGGCCTGACAGTCGGCAGGGCAGGGCAGGGCAGGGCAGGGCAGGGCAGGGCAGGGCAGGGCAGGGCAGGGCAGGGCAGGATCCAGGCGTAGGTCTCAGTAGCAGAATGGGGTAACCCTGGGTGCTGTGAGGACACTTGATGGAGAAGCTAGGGTTCCTCGAGGGAGAGGCTTCAGGGTGAGGCTGAAGGCAAGCGAGCAGAGGAGAGATTGGACTTCCAGTAGAAGGAAGGGCGTGTGTTTCCAGAGCTGAGAGGGGGTGGGGTCCCCCAGGGCTCAACCCAATCGGGAATTGCAGAGCGTGGTTGCTATGGGGAGCGAGGAACCAGAACTTTCCAACCTGAGACAGACCTTGGGGTTTTCATTTTGAGGCAATGCAGAGTTGTGGGCTGCATCTAAGCAAGGTGAGCTGGATTTCGGCATGCTTGTTTTAATTTGTCTCCCGCTGATTATACCCAAGTCCACAAGCCCCTGTCAGAAGCGCTAAGGTACTCTACAAATGGCACGGGCAGCTCCGCGTCTCCAGCCCACCCGTGTGTCCCGCCTACCCACTGCTGAAAGAACCACGGCGCCTTGGCTCTCCTGCCTTCCAGTCCCCCCCCCCCGTCCTTTCTTCCCCCATTAATTACATTGGTTTGTTTGTTTGGTGGGGGGTACATGCATGCCATGGCATACATAGGGAGGTCAGAAGACAACTTCCAGTAGTTTCCTTCCTCCCTGGCACACTTGCTGAGCCGTCTCCTTAGGCCTCTGTTTCATTGTTGTTTTGCTTTGCTTTGCTTTGTTTTTTCAAGAGAGGGTTTCCTGGATAACAGCACTAGCTGTCCTGGAACTCACAGAGCTCCACCTGCCTCTGCCTCCTGCGTGCTGGGTGTGTGCCTAACCTCCTCTTTTCTCATACCCCTTTTAACAGCTTTTCCCTACCGGTTCCCTTCCTGATTACTAGCCAGGCATCAAGCTGGAGCTCGTGGACAAGAACTGCCCAGCCCAGGGTTCTTGGATAGAGCTCCCAGTACAAGTCCCTCTTCCCTAGTCTTTGCTCCCGTGGGAGGGAAACCATTGAGATGTGGCGTTGTGGTCAGGGACCTGCACCAGACAGCCCGTCATCAAGCCCCAGACAGAGATGGCACCGATGTGGCAGGTGAATCGCCAGCCACTCCCTTCCTAGGACCTTGGCAGACATTACTAATCAATTGCATCACTTTCACAGTGAGTCAATCCAGAGCTGCAGACAACCACAAAAGTTGACTTGCCATTCTTGACCCAGACACTATCCCAAAAGTCAGGGTGACTGACTCAGAAGGCCAAGCTAAAGGGCAGCGGTCAGAACACATGCAGGGCTTCCAAAATCGATAAGGTAAAGGGCAGGACAGGGCATGGCCAAGCTGTGAAGGGGAATGGTGATTCACATTCAGCAGAGACTTCCTTTACGCTGGGCTTTCTCTAAATACCCTGACTCTTGAGGTTAAACGACTCACTTCCATGCTGCAGATGAGACAGGAGTCCCAGAGAAAGGGGTGTACCTGGTGTCACCCACCGTTCTGACCCATGTGGTGCACACTTCCAAGGCTCAGAGTCAGCTTCTCTTCTACCGAGTCCCCCGGAGCTGAAACTCAGGAGGAGGATGTCAGGCAGAGCCTGGGGGCTGCTGCTGGTGATCTAACCACTGCCTGGGACAAACGCCGCGCTCAGGGAACATTTGCTCACGGGAGACCTCTGGAGTGAACACATACGACTACTCCAGCGCAGTCCAAGCTACCAGCAAAATGTCACCGGATACAGGTTGAGGACAGGTGTTCAGGGCCACCTCCGGGTTAGGAGCTGGTGCTGCCTCACACATATTGGTACCCGGGCCTGGTAGTGTCATTTTGGGAGGTTCTGAAAACTTGGAGCTAGGACAGAGCTGCAGGGGATAGTTCACTGGGGCATGTCTTTGGAGGCAATGCCTGGCGCTCTCTCGTTTTCTCTCTCTCCATCTCCCTCCATCCGTCTCTCCCCTCCTTTTCCGTCCCCTTGCTCGTTTTTGTCTGCCCTAAGACAAAGAACTTCCCACGGCCACATGGTTCTGCCTCCATGATGCTCTACTCAGGCATACGGGGCCCAATGGCCGAGGGCTAAATAAGGCCTCTGAATGTGTGAACCAAAGAAACCTCCCCTCCTCCAAGTTGTTTCTGAAGGTTATTTGGTCACCGTGGTGAGAAGCGCCACTAATAGAGGCTCCACACTGAGTCCCTGGTGTTTGGCTCTCCCTCATGCTCCACTCAGGAGCTCTTGCCTGATTGGCCTTCATGTCTGTTGCCTGCGAGGGAAGGACCCAAGGATGACACTGGCTTGGGACAGTGCCGCTCAGAATCTGTTTGCTGCCAGCCTCTTGGTTTTTCCTCTCCACCCCAAGGCCCAAACATGAAGCCAAGAAGCTGAGTGGTAGGAAAGAGGCTGCGAAAATGCGAAGTTGGGGAAGACCCCACGCTGACAGCCCCCTTTTCCTACTCTCCTTGTAGGAAGGCAGCACTTTCCTCCCTGGGGGAGCCCCACAGCCAGGGCCAGGCGCATGGTGCCCTCCAGGAGTAGCAGCTGCCCCGGGAGGCTGGGCAGTGCCTTCAGCAGCCATTTCTGTTATCCGTGTCTAGATTCCATTCTGCACCACAGTCTGGGTCGGAGAGTGTGCAGGGTGCTGCCATCATCACCGACCCTGCCAGACCAGCGATTGCTCTGCAGTCCTGCCCTGTGGAGAGTTGAGCAGTACCGTTCTTGGAGTCGCCAGCTAAGATTGGTCTTGACCCTATAACCATGAAGAACAGCTGCTGCCACCTAGTGTCTGAATAGTGTCACAACTCTGACTTGAGTGGTGGGCAGTTGGCTAGGACTGGCTCTAAGAGGGAGAGGCTGAAGGACTGGGGGGAGGGGGGTAGATAGATGCCCCTACCCCTGGCCTGTCTTGATTCAGAGAGTCATCCCATGTGGCCAGAAAGGCTGGTTACTCAAGAGAAACTCCATAATGTTTTCAATGCTGTTGGTGCTATTGTTTTCAGACACCTAAGGGCTGGGAAATGCAGAGTACTTTCCTAGCATACACACAGAAGGCTCTGGGTTCCACCCACCGCACTGGGAAACAAACACATCAAAGCATCCCAGACAGCCTCCGCTCTTGACTCCAATCCCCTGCAAGCCACGGTAGTTTCTCACTGGCCTCTGGCTTTCCCTAATGTCCACCCTGCCAGCCTAAGGCTCTGGCCACCCATGTGAGAGCCGTGTGAGAGGCTCGGGCCCGCCTCCCTCTTTCCTGTGCCCCCCACTCATCCCAGCAGCGTGCCCGCTGTCCTTATTTGCGGTGTTTCAGGGTTCCCATGCCGCGAGTCCTTCTGACAGCCCCTTCCTGTTCTACCTCAGCCAGGCAACAATAACCGATTTCAGCCAAGACTCTGATGGCCCCAGCCAAGCCCCTCAAGGGTCCACGGCTCACCAGGACCTAAAGTCTGCTGGTCTCACCACCTGTTGCCATCTCCACCCCCACCCCCACCCCCGCCCCACCCCACCGCACCACACTTGCTTCACCCTCTGGTCCCGTATCAGTGCCCTTCCCTGAAGCCACCTCAGCTCTACTGCAAAGGGGCTTAACTGTCCCTTGCCTTAAGACTGCACCCAGCCGGCCTCCTGGGTGCAATGATACCCATGCCACCAACCTCAAGTGGAAATTGGAGCTGCTCAGATGCCTTCGCTCGGCCCTGGGACAGCTTTGCTGCCCTCTGTGAGATCACTTATTTGTCCTTCTCCAAGCCCAGCCCCCGCCCACCCTCACTCTGCACACAGTAGAAACAGCAACGCTGGACAGACATGTCTACAGCATCCGCAGACCCACTGTGTCCAGATGCTGTCTCCTCCATCTCCAAGGATGGGCTCCCTGCCCTGTCCTAGTCTCCAGAGCATCCAGGTCCACCCGCCAGCGCCTGGGAGGCATACAGCTCAGGGGTCTGATGGGGGATGTCCTTCTGTAGGCTGTGAATATATGTTTCTCTTACTGGTTGATGGATAAAGCTGTTTTAGCCAATGGACCGGCAGGATGTAGTCAGGTAGGAACTATATAGTCAGGGCTGCCAGACTAGGAGAATTCCAGGAAGAGGAACACAGAGGACGAGTCACCAGTGGGACCATGTAGCTACCGAGAAAGCAAGAGACCTGGGCAGCATCGGTAAGCCAGGGCTGCGTGGAGATACACGGGTTATAGAAATGGGCTAATAATTAAGAAAGAGCCAGCCAACGAGAAGCTTGAGCCATCAGCTGAACGGTCTATAATGAATATAGGCCCCTGTGTGTTTATTTGGGACTAAGTGGCTACGGTTTGGGGGGACAGAAACCTCTGTCTACAGGGGTCAGTGCTTGCTGAGCACGGATAATGCCCCCAGGGTCCTATCCCCAGCACCAGAAAGCAAACAACAAACTCTGAGAGCCAGGATGCTCTCCCATCTTTCTTTTATTACATGTAAAAACCCAACTGCACCAAACCCGAGTCACTTCTGGCTTCTTCCTCTGTCCCAACCCCACAGGCCCCCTGGTTCCTGGGCCCCACTCCCTTGGGGACTTGTTGCTCTGTTTGCCCATCATCTCCTCTAGCCATTCTCAAGGTCTCTGCTAAAGAATACTCTGGGCTGCTCTGATTGAAACTGTAGTGCTGATACCTGCCCAGTGAGGCGCGTGTGCGTTTAATGCCACCAAGCTGAACACCAAGACAGTTAAAGGGCAGCATGCTTTAACCCCCAAAGCAAACAAAGGTGCTGCCTGCTGAATGCCTGACTCATCACACTCAAGGGAAATGAACTGGGACCACGGGTAGGGGTGGCCTCTGCCTTCTCCCACCTAAGTTAGCAGCTCAGGTGTCACAAATGATTTGAAAGTAGACCCAGAATCCAAATGATACACTGAACAGACGCCGAGAGCCCTGCTGGCCTGACAGTCCGCTGGGGCAGCTGTCAGGGACAAGAGTGACTGGGAAGGTGCGCAGCACGCACCCCCATCCGCCAGCGCGGTGTTTGGAGTTCTCTCGCTCTGTGGGAAGCAGGATGAGAATTTGCACGTGAGGGAAATACATGGGTGCTCAGTGTAGAGTTCCAAGGTTTCCCAAGATGCCTGACTTGCATTCATTTCTAGTGTCTTTGCTTAGGCAGAGGTCGCAGGAACCCATTCACCCTGCTACCCCACAGAATGTGCATTCTCCAGATGTGCCTGCAGAGGGCCTCACCCCTGCCGTCCTGAACAGTGTACTCCCAAGTCAGGCTGAGACTAGTGTTACTCTGTAGACAAGGGGAGCCCTCCACATGCAAAAGCACGGGGCATTTGCTAGCCTAGGGTCCCTCCTCACTGGGCTGGACAAGCTCACAGTTGGGGACAGTGCAGTAGAGCAGCCAGGAGCTCAGGGAATACACAGGCTAGCATCTCAGGGTCTCCAGGAGGTTGGAGAGCTGGAAGATGCTTGAGTGCGTCCTTGGAGCATCCTTGGACAGCCCTCTCCACTCTGGCTACCTGGTCCCCACCTTCCCTGGCCACCCATTTCCCAAAGCCGGGCATCCTCAGTGACACTCCCATCCCTGGCCTTAGCCATGCCACCTGTGAACTAAGGGGGCCACGAACACTTGCCCGTCTACCCACGGCCTGAGGTCAGGCCCAGGGTGAGTTCCATTTGTTGACCTGGTTCACTGACATCCTGGCATCTCTGGGCCATGGTGGTTCTGCCTCCCCAGGAACAAACAGCTGAGAAGCTGTACTGACAGTCTCCTTGGGATTGGCGGATCAAGCCATCTCTAAGGGAGGAGGGTGCTAAGCCATAGGGCTCCTCTGTGGGCCCCTGGGACCAGCACAGCTGAAACTTAACTGTGGCTTGGCAACAGATCCCCAGGCACATACGGGTGCCCTCTGCCCCTCACCCCAAATCCAGTATGTGTAGCGGGAAAGTGGGTGTGCTGGTGACAGGTCGCTGAGAGCACTCGGCAGCAGCGTTCACAAGTCTACCCACTACCAGGACACACAACCTGGGGCTTGTGTTAGCAACCTCAGAAGTCCCCTTTCCCCATGGTCCACGGCTGTTGTGATTGCTTTAGGCCAGGCGTCTGAGACTAACCTGAGCAACAGAGCAAGAACTCTCAAAGCAAGCAACTCCCTTCCTAGTGCTGGCACAAAGGTGCAGGGCAGACACATCCGGGGACCGGGTCTGTGGCTCAGCTTGGAGGCTGGAACCACACAGCCCCTCCCTGGTGTTTCGCAAGTCACCAGTGTCCTCGGGGCTTTGCACCTTAACCACCTCACCGGGCAGGTGTCCCGAGGCTGGAACAAAGGAAACATGACAGTTCATCTGTGCAGAAGAGGTCAGGGTTTGCTCTGGGCCTGCCCGCCTGTGGGGTGGTAGCATCCAGATCGGAATGGCATCGTTTCGTCTTTGCTCCCGTCCTGTCTCACCTTCCCTTGCAAAAGTCCAACGCCGTACACCTCAGGGCTGGGTGCAATGGCACCAGTGTCTTTTTATTGGACCTCTCATGGCCACCCCGGATGCCTTGCGCTACTATCTAGCGCCTTCGCTGTTCAGTGCTCTTGACCTTGGAGGAGAGAGAATACTAGCTCGGGTCCTTTTTGTGATTTTACCACAGCTTGGTCCCTGGGCTTTGGGTTCAAGCGGATTCGTTGAGACAAGCCTGCTGCTTACCCATCTGCGCCAGGGGGAGGGGGACACAGACTTGAGAGGCTAACTGGCCTGGGAGTTCTAAACAGTGGGCTCTGGCCTGAGGTCCCCGGCAGCCCCTGCCCTTTCGAGACCCCGTCCCGTCCAGTCCTCATAGCACAGCACGTGGATGCTCTAACCTACAGCTTGGTGTTGAGGTGGAAGAAATGAGGCGCCGCGTAGGTTGTGACGGGTGGCGTGTGCCAGGCAGATGGAGGCGGACCCAGTCTGTTGCGGAGGACGGTGTCGTAGGACGCGGGAGGGAAATGCATCAGGCTGGTAGCCACGGGTGAGGGGCCTGCGGTAGCCAGGAAATGGGCTGGGAAAGCTGGGATGACCAGGGGACTGAAGGGGAGTGCGGCCTGGCCCTTCAGAGGGTCTGGGCTACCGGTGAAGTTCACAGGACACCGCAGCATGGTACCCCTGTAGGCCTCGGGAGGGGTGGGCCCCAGGGCGGGGCCCAGCAGACAGGACACAGCCACGCCAGGCACTGCGGGCCTGCGCCCAGGCTCCTTGGCATCCACCTCCTTCAGCAGGGGAGACACTGCCTTCAGTTTCTTGCCTCCATGAGCGGAGCACTCGTCTTCCAAGCCTGGGCTACTTGGGAGGGGTGGCGGGGCTCCAGGGCTCTCAGCAGGGACCTTGGCCATGGGGTACACCCAGCAGGCTTTGGGCTTGGGGTAGAAACTCCTTTTTCTGGAGCTGCCTCTATGGAATGCAGAGGGGCGGTTGGCATCCCCACCCCACACCAGCTGGGGCTCTTTGCCCGAGAGCCCGTCCTCTTTACCAGGCGGTCCCAACATCACCCTGTCTTTAAGGCCAGAGAAGAAGTCCCTGGGGTGCTGGCTGACAGGCTTCAGCACCTCAGTGGGGTAGGCGTGAAAGTGGGGGGCTGTGGGGCAGAGGCCCTCCTGCAACGCCGTGCTGGCGCTGGCGCTGCCGCAGCCGGGGGCCTGCAACCCTTCCGGGGGGGTTAACCGGTGTCCAGGGTTCTTGGCCGGTCCTCTGAGGTTCGGGGGACTTTCTCGAAGGTCCTCGCTGGGGCTCCTTGCCCCGTGGCGGCAGCCTTCTTCCTGACACTGCAAGGCCCCTGCCTTGCTGACCTGGGCCAGGAGTTTCTTTTTGGCCAGCGGGGACATGATGCCATGCGCCCCCTTGCAGTAGAAGCTGGACAAGAGCCGCTTGTAGGCCTCAGGGCAGCCACTAGCACCCATGCATGGCAAAGAGGGCCCAGATGTTGGGCCTAGCTGTTCCGTACTATCCCTTGAGGGTGCCTGGCTGGGAAGTTGTGTCAGGCCAGTGGCATCCGGTTTGGCCTTTCCCGGTGTGGTCTGGAATAAGAAAAGGCTTTGTTTTAGGGTTGGGTGCAGGACTGTGCATCTAACCTAGAGACTTGGAGGCAGGAGGCCCCCAGAGGCCACCCAGCAGCGCCTCTTAGCCCTTAGCAACGCCTTTGGTCGAACGTTTTCCAAGGTGCCCCGTCCAAGCGTCTGGAACCCAGTGTCCCAGCAATCCCAGCACAGGGTTCTGTGACAAGGTGTCTAGGTCTTCAGAGAGCCCCAGGTCCGGCCAGCTCCTGCCCTGGAAACAACAGCCAGGGCCAGAGCTGTGAAAGTAGACTCACTGTGCTGGTCGCTTACCTGGTCCGCTTGCCTCTCCGAGTCCTTGGCCTTCTTTGGCTTCTCAGTGGTCCCGTCATCTCCCCTCAGCTCCTTGGTCATTTTGTATTGCTTCCTGGGCTTGGCGGGGGGCAGTGGTTTGTCATCCTCCCCCTTCAGGTGCCGCACGTATGGGAGGACCAGCCTGGGGGAAGAGCGGGTGGGTGTGTCCACCAGAAGCTTCACCGCTGGCCTCCCGCGGGGCGGGGCGCGGGGCTTTCTGTAAGGTCCTCGGCTCCTCCCCGCCACAGCTCCTGCCGTCCCCAAAGCTGTCTGCCCCGTCCTGCCAGTGCGCCAGGCGCGCTACAGCTCTTCCTCAGATCCCAGCCCTGACAAGGACATGGCTTGTGGCACCCCCCACCCCACCCCCACACGTGAAGAGCCTATCTGTCTATATACGGGTCTTGGCACCTCATCCCCAGCACACGCCTGCCACGGCCCCCGAAGAGGAAGGCCCCGGTGTCCAGCGCCCTACAGGCGCCCATACCTCTCGTAGTGGCGGCGCGTGCACGTGGCTGCACTAGTGCTGCCTGGACTGCCCCCCAGCTCATCATACACATTCTTCCAGAGTCGGCGGCCCGTCACCTGCAAGACGCCAGAGGAGGTGGCCAATGGGGACCCTCTGGCCACGGGTTCCCCTTGCAGGGGTTCCTTCTTCGGTCCACGGGCAGGATGCTGGGGGGGGGGGGGTGCTGTACCTACAGCTCTCCTCCCAGAGCCTACCTGACCGCTAGGCAGAGCACGTTTTGGACTACTACAGGGCAGGGGGGAGCAGATGCTTAGTGGGAAGAAACTGCTTAGAGATGCAAAGTACCCTGTCCCTCCTCCCGGCAAGCAGGCTGGACCTGGGGATTCTGCCCTTCCTCAGGTCTGCAGGCCAGAAAGCCCGACCGGCCATGCTGCTCCCTAGACCTCCGGCCATGCTGCTCCCTAGCTCCTGCAAAGGGTATGGCTGAGGCTGGAGCCCTTGCTTACCAGCTCATAGGCCCCCAGCTTCTCCACTGCCTTATAGATCTTCCACAGGTTAACTGAAGGAAAGAGGCAAGACAGGCTGTCAGGCTCTGTAACCCATACACTCCCAGATGGGACCACTGGCAGGCTGGCCTGGTGGTTAAGAGGATGGGACCCTAACCCCACCCCCTGCCTTCAGGGAGGGCTTCTCATAGGCAACTCCTATAGACTGGCGACATCGACATCCAGGGTTACCTGGAGCAGAGATGCCTTGCCTATTGTCCTGTCTGGGAAGATTCCCCTGGTTGACTCCCTAAACCCACCTCCCTGCAACCCCCCCCCTCCCCGCCAGAACGCACTCTGCTTGAAGCCAAGATGGGGCACCCTCTCAATGGGCGTGTGTCGCTCCTTCATGAACTTGTAGAGGCTGACCAGGAAAGCCTGTTCCTCCTCCCGCTCCTCGCCTGCCTCTTGGGAGTCCTGCGGAGAGAGCAGGAGGCATGGATGGGCCCCACTGATGGGCAGCTGGCCTCTGGAGACCGCTGAGGGAGTGTCTAGGTCCCAACCACAGGCTACCTGGGAGCACCCAGCCTCCTGCCCCCGGGTCACACAAGTACAGCTGTGAGCCTGGTGCCCAGGCTCAGATCAATGCCTGGAATCTACAGTCCCAGAGTCCTGACAGCCAAGGCCCGGAAGTGGCCACAGGGACAGCTCCGAGGCCTTCAGGCCAGTTATAGCGTGCTATACATCTTAGGTCCTGGATGGCGGGCTCAGTGTCCCTGGATCCCTACAGTAAAAGGCACTCGGTACTTCCTCTCTGAGCCAATAGTCTGAAGCTTCCCACTTTCTATCAGCTTGGTGGACAGCTGGGAATATCTTCTTTTTACAAGACAGGGTTTCTCTGTGTAACCCTGGCTGTCCTGGAACTCGCTCTGTAGACCAGGCTGGTCTCGAACTCACAGAGATCCTCCTGCCTCTGCCTCCCTGAGTGCTGGGATTAGAGGCATGTGCCACCACCGCCAGGCGGGAATGTTTTCTGAACACTGCAGACTTGTGTTTGCTGCTCTGTGATCAGGGTCCAGGTTGTCTGATTTACAGAGAGTTCTGCTACAAAGCTGGGTGGGTGAGATCCTGCCTTGCCCAGCGCCCAGATCCTGCATCTTCCGATGTGGGGCCTCTAACAGCTCCACAGCTTGAGGCAGAGAGGCCCTGCCTCCCTCTCAGAGCTCAGGATGTCTCAAGTTCCCTGGAGGTTGAGCCCAGCAGGGAAGAGGATTTGTCCAACTCACCTCCAGCTGGATGGGGCTCTGACTCCTGCTCTGCTCACCGTCTGGCTTGGGGGACACAGGGAGCTCTAGGTCACCCTCTTCTGACTGTTCCCTTTTTCCTTTGGCAGGAGGTGATGCTGGGAGAGAGGGATGAACGAGGAGAGGGCAGGTGAGATGCCAGTAGGAGGACCGGGGCTGAGGAACGGTACCCACTTCAGCCAAGGGAGGGATGAGTGCTCATATTCCTTAGAGTGCCCTCTGCTGGCCAGCCTTGGCTACCACACCCGAGCTGTTCCTCTAAACACACACACACACACACACACACACACCCTGGCTCAGCAGCCACCTGCTCCTCTTTCCTCTATTCTAGCCACACTCCCCGCATCTCTGCAGGAAACCCTCAGTCTCATCATTGTAGCCCAAGATCCAGCGAGAGGAATGTGGGTAGGGTGTGATTCGGAGACATTTTCTCAAACCTGACCAGGTTCAGGCAGAAAGCCTTGCAGTAGCTCAGCTGAATGCTGTCAAGGCTTCATCTATGCTAATTGCCCTTGTGTTGGCCCTGAGGCTCCAGGCTGCCCCTACTTGCAAGGCTCTTGCCTGTGCAAATCAGCGATCACCCCTTCCTCAGGCCGGCCTTTCCCAGCCCAGCTAACTCCAGCACTCCAACCCATCCCTTTCTTGTCCAGCAGCACTGAACGGCGACTGCCCTCACCTCGTGAGTCTTCTGGTCCCACTCAAGACACGTGCCAGGTAAGGGAGAATGGTGGTAGCTCAAGACTTGTGACGATGGCCTCAGAGAAGCCCGGCGCACTCTTGTTTAGTGAGGCTCTGGCCTGGGCAGGAGGTTATAAAAGTGCCCCACATTGGCCACTGCGAAAACATCAGCCCACACATTGCCTCAGGTGATGAGGCAGACTGGTATCAGATTTGGAACCAAAACTTTTTAAATTAATTAATTAATTAGTTAGTTAATTGAGACGATGCCTCACTGTGTAGCCCTGGCTGGCTACACACGCAGGAACCCTCCTGCCTCTGCCTCCTGAAGGGCAGGCCTACAGGCATGTGCTACCATGTCCAACTAAAAGGGAACTTGTTTTGTTCTCATTTTATGAGGCAGGGTCTTATGTAGCTAAGAATGATCTTGAACTCCCGGTCCTCCTGCCTCCCTCTCTCCAAGGCTGTAATTATAGTCATGTGCCAACACACCTGGTTTAGAAACTCACATCTGCTGATCCTTTCTTTTGTGCTTTGGGGGACGGAGTGTCGGGCCTTGTACATTCTATGCACACACGTTTTCTAAATCATTTTGGGGGCTTAGCATACAAAGGAAAAGGTTTTACTGTGGCATTTCACACATTTCATTATGCTTTATTCTTTTCTTTCTTTTTTTTAAAGATTTACTTATTTAGTACACACACACACACACACACACACACACACACACACACACACAGTGTTCTGCCTGCAGGCCAGAAGAGGGCGCCAGATCTCGTTATCGATGCCTGTGAGCCACCATGTGGTTGCTGGGAATTGAACTCAGGACCTTCTGGATGAGCAGCCAGTGCTCTTAACTTCTGAGCCATCGCTTCAGTTCCCTCATTATGCTTTATTCTTATCTTCCACCCCACCAAGCACTTTCCTTGGGTTTTGAAACAGTCTCAAAATGTAGCCCAGATGTCGGCCTTCAGCTTCTACCTCTGTCCGCATAGTAATTACAGGCATAAGCCATGGTGCTAACCTGGGACAATGGTCCCAACTCGTGGTTTGCTCCAGCTCAGAGGGCTGTGAGATTGCCGGAAGCGTGAGATATTTCCTATCAGCACAGGCAGAAAAGAATCTCCTTGAGGACGCTGGTCCCACAGCCACATGACCCCGACGACCCGGTATTACGATGTTCAGATCCTGAAAGGCCCTCCGTTTCATAATTGTTCACACAAGTGCAGCCACCCACACCCATGCCTGTGTTTGCTCACATTGTACGGGTCCCTGCGTCTGGGTCCCTGGCTTTGCAGTTACAGCCTCTCTTTTAGTCTCAGGAGGGATCCCATTTTAAAGAGGGGGAAGCTGAAGCCAGAGAAGTCGCAAGACTAAGCATTTCCCTCGGGCACCAGGACTCAAGACACTCTGTCTGACCATTGCTTCAATGGCTTGCTGTGATTATTTTCACCATTGGCAAAGTCCTCATGGAGTGTCCAAATAAGCTCACAGAGACACTCATCCTAACTCTTGCCAGAGTCTAAAGAGACGTGGGCGCTATCTTAGATAGGTACTGACATCAGATTCATGGCCAGTCTTTAGAGATCTCAGGATGTGACAAGTACCCTTCTTTTTCTATCGTGTTCTCTGAAATGTCACGCCTCAGCCTTTGCGTCTGTGACTGAGGAGGAAAGGGCTCTGGGGGGTCCTTTGCCACCTCTGGGTGGATCTCAAGTCTGAGAACCATAAATCTGTCTTAGTCTAGCCCTCCTCCAGCCTGAGGCCTCTGCACATTCCTGTCTCCCGTCCAGCTGCTCCTCGGGTCCTGGGCACTGGTAGCAGGGTCTCTCCACCTATCCCTAGTGTGACCTAAAGAGCTAGCGTGGCACAACCCCTGGACCTCAAAAACTAACACAGTTGCACCGTGACGACCCCTGGGAGCATTTCAAAGACCGATGCTTATGGGCCCGAGTGGGACTTCATCGGAGACTGAAGCTCCTAGGGACCCCGGGGGCCTTCAGGTGGGCAGCCACCAGGCAGGTGGTCCCTGATGCTCAGGATCTGTAAGCTCACTCAAGGAAAATCTCCTGCAGTAGGACACTCAGGTTACCTGGAAGGGAACTTGCCAGTCCAAGCTGTTTGGCCCCAAATGGAAAAGGGATCGGAGCTCCCACCCTGAGCCACAAAGGGAAATACTTTCTTATCACTATGTCCTGAGTCCCCAAATGAACTTGGTGTCCACTCTCTCCTGGCCAGGGTTATCACTCTGACTGTCCCTGGCAGGACCTCCTGGGCCCTGACTTCTGTAGCCTTAGATGAGGGGGCAGGGTATCCTTTGTCCTGTCCCTGGCGGTCCTACCTCTCAGTTCCCCAATCATTTCTAGACATGGGTTGCAGGTAAATCATTTGTAGGGAAGGTTCTGCTATGAAACCAGAGATTTAGATGGTGCCCTGTTCTGGCTCCTGAACCTCCTGATGTAAGGGCCAACCATGCAGTAGCAGGCTGGGTCCCACCTCTGGGATCCAGTTCTGCAGAGGAAGCCCTCCTTGCCCTGTTTGACTGATGCTGCCGCGGACCAAGTCCTTGCCTATCTCAGAGCTTGTGTGGGAGACCCCTCCTGGCCAGTGTCTCGATATCCTACTTATGAGTAGAGAAGAGGACAAATATTCTACGGTCTGCTTCCCACAATACCATTGTACCCATGGAACAATAATGGCAATAGGGGCTGACATTCCCTTGTGCACATCTAAACTCTGGTGTGGGGTGTGAGCTGGGGTCTACCCAAGTTTCCCTCCGCTGAGCAGGTGTTTGCCGGTGCTGCTGGAGTGACACCCTCTGCAGTTAAGTGAAATGCAACTTTCCCCACAACCTCACGCTTGACGGAAGCATGTCTGGGATCATCCCTAGACTTTCTATTCTGTTCCTCTCACTGTGGAGTGCTGCCATCCATGTGCAGTTTTAATTTTCATAACTTTAAGACAGAGACCACTACACGGAGGTCAAGTCTCCGTTTGATATTTCCCTCGGAAGAACACTCCATCTGAAATTTAGGAAGATGTAGGCCTAGACTCTAAAGCAGTGGTTCTCAACCTGGGGTCTCAACCCCTTTGGGGGTCAAATGACCCTTTTCACAGAGGTCGAATATCAGATATCCTTGCTGTCAGATACTTACATCACTATTCATAACAGTAGCAAAATTAGTTAGGCAGCTCCTTACTCCACTGTCCATTCAAGGGCCAGGGGAGGCTAAGTGATCAGAGGGACAGCGTCCCTTCCTGGCCATCAGCTGGTGGAGAAGGGGGCAGCAGGAAGACCGACCGCCCCAGCCCCTCCTGATCAATTCCAAAACTGTGCCTGAGGCTGCTGGGCGCTAAGCTATCGTACCGGGGCCCAGCTTCAGCCTCTCTTCCCAATGAGAGCAAGCTTGCCAAAGCCGGTGTGTTTCCAGACCACCCCCTATTTCCCTCTGTGCCATAGCCGGGGCTCCACCAAAGCTAATGTCTTCTTGGCTGCCTGGGGCTGGGCATCTAACACAAGCCTTACTGAACCTTCCTCCTTTTAGCAGATGTCATGCCTGAGGCTCAGGGAGGTTGGACAACTTGCCTCAGGGTCACACAGCAAAACTCTGAGTCCAAACCACAGAAGTCCGGTTGAGCCCAGACCCTAAGATCTAGGGCTTTGTAAACAGGCAGGGAAACCAGCTTTCTCATCTAAGCTCAGAGGGTAGAAACTTAACCCACATTGCCTGAGCGGATCTGTACACGCTAATAAGAATAGCTCGGTGTGGACCACTGAGCCAACCAAGCCAGAATGGGGAAGGGCTGAAGCTCCATCCATCGTATGAATCACTGTGCGGCCTCGGGGCCTCCCAGGGCCTCATCACTGTAACACAGGGTACCACTTGTAGCCTTTAAGGAAGGAAAGCCATTGGACACTACGGAGAATCCCCGAAGAAGTGGGAACCTGCTGTCTGTCTGGGTAGACAATGGCTTTGTGTAAAGGGAGAAGATGAACGAACGTAGCGGGGGGGGGGGGGGGGACACCCTACAGGGAGTCAGCGAGGCTGTGGGACAGGCGAAGGGTTATCAAGAGGCCCCTGTATGCCTGCCCCCTGCCCTGCCAGCCAGTGACTGAGATCAATGAAACTGCAGGGTGGAGGCGGAGGGGGCTCTAGTAACAACACATGGATGCCTCTTGTTTATTTGTTTGCTTGGGACAGGGTTAGCCCAGACTGGCCTCGAACTTACGGCTCTCTGGGTCAGATTTGCCAGTGTTGGGACGATAGGCATGCTCCACCATGCCAGGCTGGGTGTGTCTTTTATCACCTCCATCCCTGCTTCTGTAGCTCTGTCCCCTCCTCTCTGTAAGAAGGGTGTGCTAGACTCAATGGCCAGTATTCTAAACTCCAAGAAAGCAAGAAATGAGGCTTCCCCTACGAAGCACAGCTCAAAGTGTGCACACACCCAGACACCTGCCTGTCCCCAGGGTGTCCGATTCTCCCTAGGGTCCCGAAAGACTGGCCTAAGTCTGCAGGATGAGCTTCCTTGCTCCAAGAACTCTGGTGCTTCCAGAGTGTACTAGGCAGCACGCCTCCCTCCCATGGGCTGATGGGTAGCACTTTCTTTCTCCCTCTCATTTGCCTACCCCAGTCACCCTCTGCGACGGCAAGGAAGTGACACTTCCTTTCATGAAAACTCACTGACTGGGAACACGACGACGTCAATTACAACAATAATGGCAAGGGCAGCCTCAATAACAAGCAGCAGACACAGCCCCACCCCCTTGCCTGAGGTGGTTGGCTTAAGTTTCTCTTAGCTCAAGCTGGAGAGCAAACAAAGGCAGCCTTTGAAGCGGTCAGTCCACTCCGTGGCCCAGAAGCCGGCTGCCTGGCATTCTCCTCCTTGGGCTTGCTCCAGTGGGCAGTTTGGGGAGGCGGGGGTGTGTGGGGGGGGTCCTGTCAAGGGCCAGCCTTGAAGACAACTGGACAGGAGTCTGAGGATCCAGAACCATCCACAGCCTAGTCTCGGCTCCTCTGCCAAGGCAAGGAGAGTAAGCTCTGCTAGTGTGTAGAGACAAGACAGGAGCCCCGAGAGGTATATAAAGGCAGAGAGGGACGTACGGACACCAGGTATGAGAGGCCAGACTCCCAGTGCTACCCAGCTCCAGAATAGCCGAGGAGATCCTACTCCTGGAAGGACCGAGTCCCCAGGGCCCTGCCCCTCTATCCATATGTTTGGTGAAAACAGTCCTTCATCTGGATTATTTCCGGTTTCCCCACCCCATCTATGCAGAAACAGGGCTCAGAGGGATGACTCCACAGTAGAGGTAGAACCCCCCCCCCCACAGGGTACTTCCCCTTTCCCACTCTCTTCCTACTCTCCTCACCCCTGCGCGGTACCTGCTACCCTGGTCCAAGAGGGAATGTAGACCAGTTTCCCACCTGGGGCAACAGAAGGTCACCAGGAAGGAGTGAAGGACAAGGAGGCTTGGAAGCCTGGCCCTCACTCACTCACTATCAGACCCGAGTCTGTCTCTGTGTCTCAAGTTTCTCAGGCTGTATGTTATAAAAGAAGTGTGTGTGTGTGTGTGTGTGTGTGTGTGTGTGACTCTAAGGCCCATTCCGCCTCTGTCCCTTCAAGTTCTAGGCCAGGCTGTCAGTTTGGACTCTGTAACTGCTGTGGAGACCAGACCCTGGAGCTGGCATCTCCCACCGTCCCCTGCTCTGGCATCCGGTTTAGGCACTGGGACCCTTAGATGCGCGCATCAATTCCCAGCAGTGCCCACGGTGGTGGGGTGGGGTGGGGTGGGGCAGGCAGCACCTGTTACCCTCTTTGGCTGCCGTCACCCGTCCAATGAAACGGAAGACTCTGCGAGCAAGGGGATACAGCACAACTTGGGATGAATGTGAGGCCTTGCAGGCCCGGGGTTGGCAACCCCACTGCGCCTGTGGGCCAGGGCGTGGGGTGTGACCCCAGCCAGGGCATGGCGCCTGGGCAGTGTGGAGGGTCGCAGATGTGGTGGCGTGGTTGTGCCCCTAGTTCGAGCTTGAGAGCAAAGCCAAACTTGCTTGTTGCACTCTGGCAGCCGGCCCTTCTGCCCTCTCCACTAATCACCCCCAGTCCTGGGCCACCACCCGCTCTCTCTGGAGAGACCCGAGGGAAGACAGGGAAAGTCAGAAGACCAGGCAAGCCAAAAGAAGCCGCCTTTCCTGCCAGGGGCTGGGAAGGGAAAGAGAGAGACAGAAAGAAAGAAAGAAAGAAAGAAAGAAAGAAAGAAAGAAAGAAAGAGAGAGAGAGAGAGAGAGAGAGAGAGAGAGAAGGAAGGAAGGAAGAAAGAAAGAGAAGGAAGGAAGGAAGGAAGGAAGGAAGGAAGGAAGGAAGGAGAAGAGGAGAGGAGAGAAGAGGAGAGGAGAGAAGAGGAGAGGAGAGAAGAGGAGAGAGTCGAGAAGGACCCGAAGCCTGTGCCCGGCAAACCATCAGCACGTCCCTCGGCAAAAAGAGGAACCGTTGATTCTTCAAGGCGCATTGAGCAAGTTCTTCAAAACCCCGCGCACTCACTTTCAGGAAGCGCGGCCGCAGTGGGAAGCGCGGCGCACTGCCCGGCCCGGCCCGGCCTCGGGTTCTGAGAAGCGCTGGGCTGGCACGGGGCAGGGAGGGGCCCGCGGCCGGCCGAGAAGCTGCTGCTGACAGCTGTCACAACAAATGGGCCCAGAGCAGCTTGAGATCGAAACCGCAGCAGGAAGTGTGGGCGGCTCAGTGAATTTCAGTCCAGAGCCGGAGAGGAGAGTTTCGAGATAAACGCCTGGGAAGCCCCTGGCCGCCCCGACCCGACTCTCCACGAGGAGAGAGCACACAGACACCCGGTTTGCCCCGCGGGTCGCGATCGCTCCGGGTCCTCAGCCCTCCGACCCCGACGCCGCCCACCGGCCGCTTACCCATGGCCCAGCGAGATCGCGCGTCGCCGACCGGAGACCCTCGACGAACGGACCCGTCCAGTGGCTGCGCGCTCGGCGCGACTGACTCGCGCTGCGGCTCGACTGCCGCCACCCCGCGGGCCCGCCCCTGGGCCCGCCCCGCCGCGCTCTGAGCTCCCATTGGTGGATCCTACCCTCTAGGGCGGGGAGGGCTCCGCCCCCTGAGCCCGAGGACGTCTGGGAGTTGTAGTGTGCGCCCCCTTGTCAGCAAGGGGTTCATGCTGGATACTCAGGAATCATGGCTGCCCTGGGTCTGTTCGTTTCCCTGGAGGCAAAACCAGAGGCTTAGAAAACTACCCGCCCTCTCCAGCGTGCCAAAGACTGGGTGGGGTTAAACAGTGCTTCTGACTTTGACCTCAAGTGGTCCCGGCCAATTCCATCCTATCCAGCCTCATTCATATATAGAGGTGAGTACCGTTAGCTTACTAAGGTCCAATCTAGAAAGCCCATGGCCCTGGCCTAATTCCCTATGCCTGCCCACAATGCCCATGTCCACGTATATCATATAGACTGAATGGCAGTCACAAATGAACCGTGCAAAGAGGAAGCGAAGGGAGCGAAGGGCGAGGGTTACGGTGAATGGAGACAAGAGGAGGCAGGGCAGTCAGTTGGGCTAAGACTTGAGATTTAAAAGCAGAAAGCCTCAGCAGCTGAAAAGATTCGACTTGAACTCTGTTCCTAGTATGTGGTTGGTATCCCCGGAATCGAATTCTGTTCATTAATTATAATGTGACTCTCACACCATCATTTGTCGGCATTTTATAGAGCCAATCAGGCCTGGGAGATTAATGAGCTCATATAGCTAGTAAATGGTGGGGCTGGAGCTCAACCCAGGCATAAGGAGGGGCACAGTTAGGAGAGCTCCATAGGCATACTCCCAACATTTCTGTGCCCCCCCTTCACACCGAACAAGTGGACCAGGCTGCATTTGGTGACTCTGACCCTCAGGCCCTTATCCATCGGCTCTAGACTAGCAGATCTGCAAGCCCAGCCTGGAACCGGCAACACTGGGTTTGGAGGGATGATTGTAACAGCCAGCTCTTGCAGATCTGGTAACAGACACACTGTTGTCAATATTTATTAACTGCTCAGAATAATCACCAGAATAGTGATTGCAACAGCACCTCCCACATCTAAGATTACAAGCCACACTCCACCCCAAGAGATCTGAATTGGCAGAGATGCTATCTACCAAGAGATACTTTACAACCTGGAAACTTCACAGGCTTCTATTCTAGTTCCGCTTGTATCGGTTTGGGAAGGCTTGATTGGGCCAGCCACAATGCCAGGCTAGGGATAGAGATCTGGATACTGCCTTCAGGGTCACAGTGCCATCTGCTATCCACCGGGTTGGATACTTTTATCAGTGAAGCACTCACTACCTTACAAACCCGCAGCTAAGCCTACCTTTGGAGAGAAGGATCCTATCATCTAGGCAGGAGGACATAATTTTAGACAGGGCTGTTTGTGCAAAGCCTCAGCAAGTCTACACCTGTCTGGGGCAACCTGAGAACAATATGATCTAAATTTAATTGTCTCCTGAGGCAACTGTTTGCAACAGAAAGTAACCTACAACAGCTAATAAGTTCTACTGAGAAATGATACCTCCATTAGCTTTCCTAAAAGCATAAAACACTCCTGTTGTTCAAGCTTCATTTGACACCCCCTCCCCCAGCTCACAGCTGCATTCCATCACCCACCATCCACGGAATACCAGCCCAGGATAGTGTGAGCAGTCACTAGCCCCTCTGTGTCTTGGTTGTCTCTCTGCTGCCAGTCTCCAGAAGAACAAAAAAACAAAAACAAAAAACAAAACAAAACAAAAATAACACCACTAATGTGTAAACACATTCTTCCCAGAAAAAGCATTGAGAATAAATCAGTCCTCTCTGGCCCCGCCCCAAATCCAGTTCCCTCCCTCTCCTTATCAGATTGGATAGTCTTTTAGAAAGTTCCCTACTGATTTTCATAGACACATGTATCCATGGTATGGTTAAACACGTAACTTTGTTTAATGTGTATTTTTAGCTGATACACTCATGGAGATGCCTACAGTTAAAACACAGGTCACATGTGTACATGTGACCTCTCCATAGTCGTCCCCTCCCCACCCCCAGTCTTGTTGAGAGAATTCTAGATCTCTTAGGCCCTCCCTCTTGGGGAGAGACTGGGCTAAGCCTACCTTCTAACGCCTCACGTTGGCCCATCACGAGGGACCTGGCCTTGGGGGTGGGCCTCATCCTGGATCTTTCAGGCCTGGAAGTCAGAGCCCCACTTCATCTGAGACCTTCAAAGCCGTTCCGTGTGCTCAGAGAACAGGACAGGCAGCCTGTCTTCTCCACTGTCTCTGCTGTTCCCAGGCTCAGCAGTTGCAAAATGCCCCCTGGGGCCTTGTTTTCAAAGGGCAATGAAGTGGGGGAGTATTTTTAACTGTTGGCCCTGCTCTGCTCCCCCCCACCCCCCACCCCATGCTAGCTGTCCAGGAAAGGCTTGCTTCGCAGTGCCATTTGCAACTCATGGAAAACAACAAATGCTCGAAATAGACTAGACCCAAGCCCGGGAATGGAAAAAATGGGCTCATGGTTTCAAATGCGTATTTTAGAAAGAGTATTTTAGAAAGAGACAAGAATAGCTTTTGGCCTTTGGGGATGGGCTAGGGATGAGGGACTGGGAGGTGGGGAGGTGGCTACGCTGGGATAGCATTGAGTCCCCCCAGATCACCAAGGGACAATTTCCTAGGCGTAGAGGTATGGTGACTGTCCCCAGGGTGTTTAAAAGCAGGTGCTCCAATCTCCCTCTGGACCTCCCAGCTGAATCTGGAACAGTTGGGTTAGGGCTGGCTTCCGGGTGGAGGGCTCCATGGCTCTCTCCTCACCCAAACAGAAACCCAAGACGCTTAACTGTCTGCACCTGAAAGGTGACAGTTGAATCCTCCTGGGGTAGAGAAGAATTCGGGGTTTTCATCTACACTCATATACAGCCCAGATGTGCAACCTTGTGCACGTTGTTTGGCCTCTCGGAGCCCCAGGTGCCTGGTTAGGGAAGGTGGGGATGATGCTGTGCTCGTCCGTCTGTCCGTCTGTACATCTAACACATGTCATGTAGTCCTTCTGTGCTCTGGTGCCAACTTAGACACAGTCCTAGCCATTAACAGACAGCAAAGTGCCAATGCCTGGGCCGGCAGGGGTTCTGGAGGATCAGACCCTTGTATCACCTGATCCCTACAAACCAGGCACTGGATTTGTCCCCAGAATACTCTTGGGACATTGAGGGACAGAGAACAGGTGCTGTACAAGTCCATGGGCACAGCCACAATCTGGAAGGAGTAAGGAAAGGTTGACTGTGCGCCAGAGATCCTAGGAACAGGGCCACCAGACCTTGGTTTCTTGTGTCACAGTTTCACAAAGTGGTAAATCTAGGCCGGGCGGGAGTCAGCACAAAGTGCTCTGGAGAAAGATCTCAGTTAAGTCAGTGTAGCCCTTGTACTTAAGATTTCAGAGGGCCTTCAGTCCTGTTTGAATGCTCTTGACTGCTCCTCCCGTTTGACAGATGAATAAATCGAGGTATGTTTCACTTAAGTGACTTCTGCTCCCACAAGTAACCCTCCCTGCCCAATGCCCAGCCACACAGGAACCGGGAGCCATGAGAACGCGCCCAGCGGCAAGAGAGAACTGCATCTCCCAGGATGCTTTGCTAGAGGGGGGCGTGTAGGGGTGGAGTCGCCACTCACACTGTAATTTCTTGGCATTGGGAGGGAAAGGGGGGAGTTGCAGAGGGGGAGCAAAGTAAAGAGAGAGAATCAAAGCCTCCAGCGTCACGTCTAGGAATAGCCTCGGAGCTGGGCCAAGTCATTATCGACGATGAGTAATCCGGTTAAGTCATTTCTCTAAACACCATTCCTTGTAAGAGAATTAAAATATCAGCTTGCATCAGAGCGGGAGAGGCGGGCTCCGAGCCCGGGCAGCAGCGCCAGGAGCGGGAGCCGCTGGCCGGCTCCGCGCTTGGCCTGCCCGGCGTGGGAGCGGAGCAGAGCCGCGTGCCTGGGTGCTGCCAACCCGGCCTGGGCTCCGGCTGGGCAGGAACCAGCGAGTGGGGTGGGGGGAGGAAGGCAACCAGCCAGGCCTCAGTTTACCCTGCTGTTAAGAGCCCCAGGGATGGTTTGACCCCCCTGCAACGGGACGGATCTGGGGGCTCCCTCTCTACAGCGCTTAGTCGCTCCTGCCCCGGATTTTAGAATTGATGTCTGGAGAGCTTCAGGCGCAGGTTCACAGCGAAGGGCTGGAGACGAGAAGAGTCCCCAATACCCTGCCTACCTCTCCTTCTAAACTTTGTGTCGTGTGCGTGTTTGAAGGCTTGATTTTCATCTTTCCTCTCCCCATTTTCTTTTTGGTTGCTTCTGTGCCCTACCTGCCCTGTGTTGAGCAGTCTAGGACCACGACCGGCTTGTGAAAGGTGGGGATGACATGACGGCTAGCGTCCGCTATGTAGTCCAGGTGGGCCTGGGGCGCCAGATCTTCGTGCTTCAGCCTGAGTGCTGAGATTAGTGGCATGCACCAGTACACCCAGCTAGGCATCTTGCTATCTTATTCATTATTATTTATATTACTGTTTGAGTGCTGAGGTTTGAACCTCGGGTCTCAAGGAGGCTAGGCAAGCCGTCTTCCATGGAACGACATCCCCAGCTGAGTTAGGTACTGGAAGAACTCTTGGACAGTCCAGGCTCTGTGGCTCTGGAACCATGTGGACACTTTTTAGTCCTAGACCGACTTGTCTAATCAGTTTTCCTGTGGCTGAAATGGGCGTAGGGTCTAGCCTGCCAGATTACTGTGAGGGTGAAAAATAGGCCTTCGGGGTCATCAGGCTGGCTCGCTGTGAGGAAATAGCCCCGGCCAGGGCCTGTTCTGTGTGTGGATTTGCCTCTTCTGTTTCCAATAACAAGTTCATATAGCATCGTGATTCTGAAGGTCTGGGGTTGAGGGCCGGCCAGCACCTGGTGATGAGGTTTTACTGACACGAGTCCCAAGGGGGTGAAGGACATTACACGGTGGGAGACGAAAAGCATGAGTGTGTGTCCTCT